AGCAAAGTAAATTTGAAATAAATGAATTGACAAAAAAAACACAAATGTTTTTTTTTTTTAAATAAAATTTTTAGTTGTCAATTTGTTGTTCAAACAGGTTCAATTGATTATTCAATTCATTTTGCTAATCCAGATGTAGCTATTGATTGGTCACGTGTTGAACAAGTTCGTTTACATTCAATGCATGCACTTAAATGTCCTATTTGTTTATCGGAACCACAAGCAGGAAAAATTACACGTTGTGGACATGTTTATTGTTGGTCATGTTTATTACATTATTTAGCATTAAGTGACCAAGCTTGGAGAAAATGTCCCGTTTGTTCAGAATCAATTTATAAACAAGATATTCGAAGGTTTTTATATAATTATAAATCAAAATTTTTGAAAAAGAAAAAAATTTTGTTTTTTTGTTAATTTTAGTGTTCGTGGAATAATTTCTCGTTGTTTTAAACCAGGTGATTGGATTACATTTCGTTTAATGTGTCGTGAACGTGGTTCAGTACTTTTTTATCCAAAGAAAACTTTTAATAATATAATATTAAAAAATGAACCTGAACGTCTTTTAATTGAAACAAATAAAGAACAATATACTCATCTATTATCAGCTGATGATGAAACAATTTTAAGTGAAATAATTGAAAAAGAAAAATTTGAATTATTAAAACAATTAGAAGAAGATGGAGATCAACCAGAAGCTTGTTTTATTAAACAAGCACTTGAAGAAAATAATGTAAATTTTTCCATTATTATTATTTTCTTCTTTAATTGATCGATTTTTATTTTTCTATTTTATGTTCGATAGGAAAGAGAAAAGATAATTCGAGAACGAATCAGTAAAATGAAGAATATCGATGAAATTAAATTAACATCAAAACAAACCAAAGAAGACGAAGAACACTTATTACCAACTAAAGTATGTTAAACAAATATATAAATATTATTATAAAACAATAAATTTAAAAATTGATCCCTTCCCATTCGATGATTTCTCAGTTCGATCTTAACATTATCAATTACAACGATTGATAACTACATTTAATATAGAAAAAGAATAACAAGTAAAATACAAAAATGATCAATATCTATAACCCATAGGCATGTTATTTATATAAAAAACAAAAATAAGTTTTTTTATTTTTACGATTTTGCCACATTGAATGATTAATTGTAAACCTTGATAATTGAGTACAAATGCACTCGATGTATAACTGTGAATTGTATTTTACTTGTTGTTCACTTTTCATATTTAATATGTTTGTCTCAGCAATGATCGCTGACATATATCAGTTGATTTAAGTCGGATTATTATATGAGTTCTGCTTAACCAATGACTGTTCGAAAATGAAATTTTTGAATTATGTCGAAATGAGAGATTATCGAATAGGACTGAATCGGTGAATGCTCCATTGAATTCGATCAAACTACGCTATGTTTTGATGTTGGGGAATCGAAAGGAATGCCGGACATTAAATTCTACTCACAACGGACAAGACAATAAAACAGTTAAATAACGTAGCAGGTCCATTTCACATTTACAAAATTGCATATCAGCATTATATTCGACAGAGTACATTAGACTCGTTTTTGTTTTCCTCGTTAAGTTAGAAATTATTTTAAACTGTGTGTTATTCAATATTGGACGTATATTTTTGTCTATGATCAGAATGAATACCAATTTCCTTACGTACTACTTGAAATAATTCTCAAGCAATAAATTTGAATAAAAAAACAAAAATTTCATAGAATTTTCTTAGTTTAAATAACAAACTAAATTTATATAATGTTTTTTTTTATTTTAAATTTTAGCCTATATTAGTTTATGACAATGCTTTTGACAATATTATAGAACCTAGACCAGAAGAAAAAACAGATATTAGTATCGAAGAAAAACTTGATACAAGTGCATCTTCACCTACTACTGGTTTGTATTTTCGTTTCGATACATTTTGTATATATATATATTGATCATTATGTAGATAAAAATTTATTATGTGCAGCAGCAGCAGCAGCATCAACATCGAATGTACAACCAAATCGATACTATTTTTATCAAGGTTAATATTATTCTATAGAATGAATTAATAAATTAAAATATTAAAATTTTAGCGGATGATATTTATCATGCATATTTAAATGGATTAAATACTCGAATTTTACTTCATGAATATGGTTGTTATCAACAATGTCCTGATGAACTTCATGTTCGAGTTGAAGCAATTGAAAGTTTTTTTATGACTGAAGTCAGTTTTTAATCTAACAAAAATCGAAAAAAGTTTTCTTTCTTTTTGATTTTTATTAAAGGAACTTCGATCACATTTTCGTTCATTAAGCCATTTACCATTAACATGTGAATTTCAAGTTATTGAAATTCGTCTTCATCCATCATTGATTTCTTCTGAAACAATGCAAGTTTTTGCAGGTAAATTTTTTATTTATTTGATCATTTTTCGATTTTCAAAAATTACCTTTTTTGTTTTTTGCTAAACTTTAGATGAAATTCATCGTCGTCGTCAATTACGTGTACGAAAAGAACGTTTAGAAAAACGACGACAACAACAAGCTGAAATAGTTGAAAGTCAAAAACTATTATCTCAATGTAAATAAATTATTAATTAAACATTTTCTTTTAAAAATTTCTTTTATTATTATTTCAAAGATCCACCTGAAATGATGTATATACCACAAGAAAGTTTTCCTGTAAATGGAACAAATTCTATGGAAGAATTTCCAGCTATAATTAGTAGTGCAACATCTTCATCACCACCATCAGCAACTGTACAATTATCTGATGACAATTTATCACCTCCAATAGGGGTTTCATTCGCTCAAATGCTTAAACAACAAGCTCCACCTATACTCAAACCATTACCGATCAATAAATCAGTTATTGAAAAAAGTTCAACTATTGAAATTCCGAAAAAAACTAAAAAGAATCAAAAGAAGAAAAATAATAATGATAGTGATGAAGATCATATTAATGACGATGAAGAATATTATTCAACTGTACCTAATTTTCATTCAAGTTTTAGTCTTGAAGGAGTTTTTGATCGACTTAAACTTGGTTTGTATTTTAATTCCTTTTTTTTCCTATTTTGTACAAAGAGAAAAAGAAATTTGAATCTTCTTTTTATTTTTGGTATAGTAAATGGTGAAGAACATCCTGTATCATCAATTGGTGAAGAAGTTACGAGCAATGTTACAACTAAAAAGAAGAATAAAAAAAATAAACAAGTACTATTTGCCACTGGTTTAGGTAGTCAAGTCAAACTGTGAAAATCTATTATCGAAGAAAGAGCAAATCACTGTTTATTTATCTGTTTGTTTTTCTTTTTCTATTTGCCTTTAGTTTTCTCTATTTCTTTGTTTTGAATAAATACATATATATATATATTTCCGACGCTAACTTAAACACTGATTCTATATTGATCGTCTAAAGATAATAAATCAAACAAGATTAAAAATTAAATTATAGAAAAATTTTATATCTGATATTACAATAAAAAACATGTTTGCTTGGCAATAGATCTTATACGAGAATATTGTTGTTACATGTTGTATAAACTTCTTAACATAATACAATTTTAATGATGCAACAAAACGTGTTTGGAAAGAAGATTATAAATACTCGTAGTTTCTCAGCGATCGACAAATTTTGGCTATTGTTGTATATTTACATAGTATTCAGAAAGTCATTGATCAAAATTGAATATCGTCATTATGATTCTATTGAATGAATTGGTTGTTGTACTGATGTCTTTGTTCGAGTAATTGAGAACTTTATATTTATGAATAAACTTTTGGAAGTGTTCTTTATCATCAGTATAAAATCTATCTCATCCAATAGAACCATAATGGAAATATATAAGTCTGTTTTGAGTCAATGACTTTCCGGACACTCTCTATATAAATATATTTGTATAGTAAACACTCGTTAACTAAGGACAAGAAGATAAACATATCAATACCTAAATGTATTAGTTGATACGTCTAAAATGGCTTTAATAGCGTTCTATTTTAGAAGATGAAATACTAATTTTAATCTATCAAAGATAGCTCAATAATTCAAAGAGAATTTTTCATAATATTCGGTTGCTATACAAGTATTAGATGAATTAAATCATAAACATGATCTAAATATTGATGATATATGTTTGTTCTATCATTGCTGAAAGATCTTTTTTTTCCGACTAGTTAAATTTCTCGTCAATATTGACACAATCTTTTTTACAAATCAAATTGAACATAAATCAAATACTTCATTATTCCATGTTCATATTAGATTTTATCAATCTGATGCAAAGTCAATATTTTCATTTATTATTCATGTATCTTTCATTCAAACATCACTATATTGTTTGGAAAAAAAACTGCATTGTTGAAAGAAAATGTCCTTGCAATTGACTGAAGAAAAAGAACAGCGCAAAAGCAAAAAAAAACAGAAGTATACTGTGATAATATTTATTCATCTTTGTTTTTTTTTTTTGAGAACAATAAAGTATTTGCGTACAAAAGAAAATGTGATTCATCAGATATCAGCTGAAATATACTTCGGTGCTTACATCATCAATATATACTTTGTCTTGATATCTTTTATAAGTATTCTTATAATTTGTATATTTATTACTGTTAAATAAAAATATAAAATTGCATATAGTCCTGAACAATGATGAATGAGAGAATGATGTTATTAACAATAATACTTAAAATAAGTTTTGAATATAATTTATATGAACTTAAAATCTTTAGGTTAAAAATTTCGATCTTTTGAAATGTTCTATAAAAGTTCAAATAAAACAACTTGCAGTTTGTTTATTCATCTAGATAAAATAGAATAGATCGATTGTGTCTATTGTTTCATACAAAAATAGGCGCCATCTGTTATTTGTTTTATTGCTGTTCTGTAGGATAGAGGTGTATCGATGTGCATTGAAGTTAAAATGGTATAGAGATTACACAGATTTTAGACTTCTCGATTGTCGTCTTATCTGATTTTATACATCATGGGTCCAAAACGAGTAGATACTGTCATGAAAGGAAGTAAATTTGCACAAGGTGGGACGAGTGTGTTAGGTATGGCTGGTATTGGGACATTGATTGAGCAAGGTCATTACATTTACTTTTCGTTTTCTTGTTTTTTTTAAACTTTCATCTTCAATATTGTATAGATGGTCAGCAGTGTGTAGGTAAATTTGCTGCTGATTTAGAACTATGTTGTCGTGAACCATCTTCAGTCTATCCTATAACTATTCCTGTTTATATTCGTGGTCGTCCACCAACATCCGCACCAATTCAATCGTTTCAATTACAAAATCAGCAGCAACAACAACAACAGCAAAATATAGGAACACATCCTGGAACGTCAGCTACTCCATCATTACCTGCCGTAATTGCGGAAGAACAATTACCATCAATGGGAAAGAGAGCATCTCGTGCAAGAATGCCTTCTGTTGCTCAAAGTGGAATTATAATAGGAATAACAGGCATTGATGCTGATAAAAGATCAATGAGTATTACAGGTACATCAATTTCCTTGTTTTTTTTTTATACATTCGTAAATAATCTTTCTTATATATAGGACAAGAACAACCAAAAATATCTTCACCGACCTATAAAACATTTAATTTAATTAATGATAGTGATTATTTTCGACCTAAATTATTAGTAGATTCAGTCAATAATGATAATGAATCCATTGATCAAATAACATCTCTTTATATAAGAGGTACTTTAGTGTTGTATTTTGTTAATATTATTCATCTATATTTAGATTGGCAACTTGATCAACGTTTTATTGATATTTTGAAAAAAGTTCTTCCGTTACAAGAACAATTACATACACTTGAGTAACTTATATTAAACTTTTTTTTTTATTCTTTCTTTCTTTCTCTCTCTCTACATATTCTTATAAATATAGTTTCTGTTTTGTTGGTCTGAATGAGAAAACTATTCATGGGATAGTTGAATTATGTCAAGTAACGAAAAATTTGAAGTAAGTTTGTGTTTTTTTTGAACTGGTTCATTGAATTCATTTATTTCCATTGTCAAACATAATAATAAATAAATATATATAATCGAAAAATAATTTATTAATTATTTCAGAAATGTTTCATTCGATGGAAATCCATTAGCAGCAGATTATTTTTATCTTTTCATTGAAAAAGATGATTCAAAGTAAAATTTAATTCGTATATATATTTTTAAGTATTACTTATCTTTAATATCTATAGAATTATTCAATTATCTCTTCGTTATTGTAATATTACTGATGTAGGTGCTGAACGTCTTGCTAATGCTCTTGGTAACATGTTAAAACCAAATCGAAAATTATTAACACTTAATCTAAGTGGAAATCGTATTGGTGATGATGGTGCTAAATCTTTTGCAACAGTAAATAATAAATTTATTCTATTCAAATTTAATAATTTCTATTTTTTCTTAGGCATTACGTTATAATAGAACATTAATAACTCTTAATCTTTCATCGAATTTTATAACTGACAAAGGTGCTTTTCCTTTGGCATTAGTAAGTATTTTATTTTAATAATAAATATTATCTTTCTAAAATATTTCTTTAGATATAAATAGGGGTAGGTTTCTCTTTTTTTTTTTTTTCATATAGTTATCCCTACTAATCGATTTAATTCTATAGACTTTGTTTGATAGGAAAAAAAAGCCGCTTGTGCATTTTATCAAACATAGTCTAAAATAATGATATGTGTTATGATATTTAGAATAAAATTTGAAAATATTGCTTATGTTTTAAATAATTTGTTTTTATTTTAACTATTAAATTAGAAAAGTTTTTTTGTTTTAAACGAAAAGAAATTTTTATTAAATAGGTTCTTCGAAGAATTGTTCTTACACAAGAAGAAATCCTTCGACGTCGACATTTAACAGTTCAACATTATGTTGAAACACATCCAGATGAATTTAGAATTTCTGTTAGTTACAAAAAAAAAAAAATCATTTATTTATTAATAAACAAAAAGAAAAAATAATAATTTTTATTATTTAAGACCAATTCACCAACTCCTTCAAATGTATCAACAAAGAGTAAATCAGGTCGAAGTAGTCGAAATGATCGAAAACGTGTACCAGATATAACTAAACGAAAAATAAGCATATTAAAAACTGCACAAAATCTTATCGTATATAATGCTTTGTTTTTTCTGTTTCATTTCTTATATGCTATAGGATTGATGTTATTTTTTAGGAGAAACGTAATCGAGTTGAATCTGGTAAAAAAATATAATTATTATTTTTATTAATAAGATATTCTTATTTTATTTTGTTAGATGAAAGTCGTCCACCATCAGAAAATAAAGGTGATTTAAAACGAGGACGAAATGAAGGTAGTGGTAGCCGTTCAACAACACATAATTCTTCATCAGCAACTGCTAATACATCTCGACGAACAGCTGCTAATACATTAAATACAAATACTAAAGAATCCGGTAAAAAGAAAAAAGAATTAATTATTATTATTTTTTTAAGATAAAATCTGTTCTTTTTTTTTTTTGTATAGATCAATCTCGAACGAATCCTCCTTCACGTATGAGAAAGATAGCAACGACTGTTAATGCTACAACAAAAAAGACGATTTCAATGGTTAAAGAAGAAGATGAAGATGCAATACAACAGGTAAAGAAATTTTTTCTAGTTTTACTTTTTTTTGTACAAATCACAATTTAATATGCACTTTATACACATAAATCCTACAGGAAACACTCAATTGTTTGAGTACATTATTCGATTTCGTTGTAAGTCGAATCGATATTATATTTAATTCATAATTATATATCAATATTTCCTATTCTTGCTTTTATTCTATATATTCTTTTATCTGAATTTATAAGAAAAAATAAAAAAAACAATAGATATTTTAACATTTTCTTAATCATTAGGGTCAATCATCTGATTTATCATCATCAGGAAAAGTATTTACTGCTCTGCTATGTATTCATGTCTTTCTTCTTCTTGCTCGCTAACATATTTTTCGTTTTTAAATAATATAAAAAAAAAAAAAAGAAAAAAAAAACGTATTTCTTTGAATATTTTATTTAATTAAATAGCCAATGTCATTACCAATTCAATATACTGATAATGAAAATCCATTAATGGAACCAAGTGAAATTGAATCACAAGATGGTGAAATATGGTTAAGAGGAAATTTTGTTCTTTTAAGTTTAAATTTATCACGTAAAACAAAAAACAAAATATTATTTTCAAAAAAACAAAAAAAAAGTTCTTTTAGGAAATTATTTAACATCAGATAGTGTTCGAGAATTTCTTCTTTCAATTCAACAACAATCAGCATTAACAAGTTTTAATGATGCATTTAATTTATCATCATCAACAACAACAACAACAACAACAACTTCATCAACGAACTTTCTTGGTCTTTGCCGACTTGAATTAAAAGTAAAAAATTTTGTTTTATTATTATTTACGATAGATAAGGAATAATACACTCGAAAGTGAGACAAATCTCTTGTAGATAGCTCTTTGAACTAAAGCTTATTAAATCGAGGAGGAGTTAATTCTGGAATTGGATTTAAGGCAACATTCATAATTTAAAAAATAAAACTTTTATTCATTAAAAACAAATATAAAAAATGAACAAAACTTTTCTTTATCCTATAATATATCTCTAATTATTATTATAATTACTATAACGAAGTCCATCGAGTTCATTCGGAACTCAAATCCAACTACTTATTTTATGTCCAAAAAATCGTAATAAATTGAAATCAAGTAACAAAAGAAAACCCGAATGCGATGAACTCTTCCTGTTTGATATTTTCCGATTGTTAACAACACTATTTGTTTTTTTCTAAAAAGGGTATGAATGATATTTCAACAAAATCATCTGAATATCAATCATTGGAAACATTACTTGCACAAAAAAATCCATTATATCGTTTTCAACAATTAAGAGAACGTGAAGCAAAAGAATTACTTGATCTACAATTGATTCCACCATCACAACAACTTCAACAATCAATATCAGAAAAAACAACAAATATTTCAGAAAAAACACGAATACCTTCAAGTGCTAAATCTACAAGTTAGTTTAATTGAAAAATATTTGAATTTTAAAAATGTATTTCAATTATTTTAGATCAACGACCAACATCACGATTAAAAGACTAAATGCTTCTTTTTTTTTCTCGCTCTTCTTCTTCCTTTACAACGAATAAATATATTTATATTCATGATTGATAAAATAATGAATCTTGATTAACTCATTGATTATAGATAATAAATATGTCTGGTTCAACAAAACATTTTGTTAATATGAAAATAAATACTCGACGAATAATAGTATTTGGTAAATCAAATGATCCTGATTCACAACAAGTTAAACAAATATTTGAACAATATTTTTTACCAAAAGGTACATTTTATATTTTAAAAAATACAAAAGAAAATTTTACATTATATATGCTTATTTAAAGATACATATGAATGGATTGATATTGAAAAAAGACAAGATTGTAAACAAATAGAAAATTATTTTCGTTCTCTTTGTTTTACTGATCGACGACAGGTATTTAAGAGAAAAAAAAACAACTTTATTTTGTTTTAAAATTTTCATTTATCTAGACTCCATATATTTTCATTGATCAACTTTATTTTGGATCTTTATTTGAATTAAATATTTGTCATAAAAATGATTCATTGAAAGAAATCTTATTGAAATAGAAATAAAAACGTAAAATCTATGATTTTTGTTTTCCTGTAGACTCCATATATCTTCTTGGCGGGAAACTATTTCGGTACTTTGAATCAATTATATTATACTCATATTCAAGGAAGATTAAACGAAATATTGATTTCTGTTATTCGATCAATACCATCAAGAAAATGTAATGAAGGATCTATTGTGTCAGAAAAATCAATAACAAATTATTAAAATGATAAATAACAATTTTTATCGAACAAAATTTCGTTTCGATTTGCAGCGAACATAAAAAAAAAATGATTAAACAATATTCGAATTTTATCGATTTATAAGTTTTGTTTAATATTTAGGATAAGATTGAATCTTATTAATTTGACAGGTTGGAATTACAAAAAAATATAATTATTCTCAAAGTTTTCTTCTATTACTCATCAATTTGTGACATTTGAGATGATACTTAAAAGTTATGTATTGACACGAATATTTTATATCTACACAACGATCTGATTGACATTTATTTTGACTGTTATCGAAAAAAATAATTATTCTTGTTGTGAAGTTTTGATAAATATTCTCATTATAAGTCATTGAATAATAAGGAAACTTCCAAAATATTTTGAAAAAATAGTCAAAGAATATCATAAAAAATTGCTTATTACTTTGTGAATTATTTTCCGAGTGAATGTAATGCTGCAGATAAATGTTATTCGAGAACAAGTTTATATTTCTTCGTTGATTTATGTACTAGTTTTCTCCTGGGAAGTAGTTATGCATATATAGATATATCTTTGTACTGTGATGTACAATAAGAATAAATCAAATTTCTGTCTCTCAGTTAGTTTGTACGTATAAGTTCGGTGGTTGTTTAAATATTTAAAAAATTGATTTTATAAACTTCTGTATCTAAATAATAAAATACGGTAAAGGCTATTTATTAATAGAAATACGGAACAAAAGTCAGCTTGAAATCAATGCATACTGTGTTACGATCTGAATCAAATCTCACAGGAACATTTAGCTACATTTCTCTTCTAATCACTTGATTCAACTTTGAATTGGTGCTTCTTTTGTGCATTCAAGGTCTATTGATGCCTAATTGGTTTGTAAGATAACGGTTGGGCGCGTAGAAAGATTCATAGAATCAGATAACCCTCGCAAAAACACTATTAGAGATATAAGAGAGTTTGATATGAGGTGTACAGGAATGAGAAGACGTGTAGATACATTATAGTATATGAACATAGTAGAAATTGCATTTTTTTTTGTGCTTCGTTATATTTACCAATCAAACTGTAACTCGTCAGATCTGCGTGCCGATTATTTATAAATACAGGGCTCTTATTACTCTGTATGACAAACACTCTGCATAAGGCTGAGTAGGACTGAGATCTATATCTGAAGTAAACAAGTATCGACTGTTTTATCAAGTCATGAAAAGTTAAGCCTTACTTCAATAAACTTTTTCGAAAATATCTGTGAATGTAATGAATAAAAACGTATATTCTAAAGAAATTTAAATTAACTCAATTGTTATTGATAATTCTATTTTGGACAAAATAATATTATTTATTTATTAACATATTCGACTGTGATCCAAGGTCATAATTTACACCATCGAGTCATCTAGCATTGTTACTCTTGAAGAGGCCAGTTGTAATATAGAATGAACATATAGATTTGTATATATATATATATAAGGTTACATTCAAAAAAAAAACTTTCATTTGTAATTGAATATGAATCATTCAATAATACATGTATATATGTACTAACAATTTTCCTGGTGGTTTATTGATAAGTATTCTTTTCCTCGATGTGAAAGACTTTTTTTCTAAGTAAACAACAAAAAAAGTTAAAATATCAACAAGATGAACATGATCGAATATGTTCGATTATTGAGTATTCTCATCTTATGATGTTCCAACTCACTTTGTGTCATATCAACTATGCAAAACAATTTCTTCTCAACTTCAATACATATCTTCCTCGTCTTGACGCATTATATATTAAGCACGAAATGTTAGTAAGTGTAACAGAGAATTTCATAAATAATGCTGCACGTAACAAATGTTCAAAAGTACAACATATTCTCTTTGATTTAAATCGAGTAATTCTGTTGATTACTCGATTGGACAACAATCTCAATTGCTATGTTAGTTGATTTTTAAATGTGTATATATTTTGATTACCTTGAAAAAACATATAACAAACTATTCTTTTGATGAAATATAAAGCCTTCCAATTGCTGTTTATAGTTCATTATGCACATATTCTTTCGAAATGTTGAATGTATCAAAATGGTTTTTTTAAAAATACTCTCAATCTCTGCATTTTACTATATGAAAAATATAATCAACAAGAGAGATGACATCACAATCGTTTCTTAATAGACAATATATTCTATTGTCACTTAATCGATGATCATCATTTCAAACGAATGAAACGATAGCAAGCTGATACTTATTGATGATCAAGTGTAGTAAGCAATTTCCTGTTTGACGATGCTTGTTCAATATAAACTCTTAAGAATGAGTGTCTGACAAAATTCAGATATCGGAAATTGAGTGACACTTCAGAATTCGTTGATTATTTTATTTTATGGATATAAAAAGCATGAAAATATTAATGGAATTTTTGATACTGATTTTTAATTTGATTCTCCATAGAAAAAGTAACTCTATATTTCAATTAGTGATACATTTGTCTTCTGGTTTTTCTAAATATAAATCAAGAATCGAAACAGACAAGATTTTTTAATAGGTTGTCCCATTTCGCTTCGATCTATAATTTTTTTAATACTATCTTATCTCGACTAAAGAATTTTCTTCAAGATAGGATCTCGCCAGATTAAAAGTTACGAACTTCGTATACGACTATATTTTTCTCTCCTCATCTATAAAATCAAATAAAACTATGAACTAAAATAAAGTACTTAAATAATAAAAATATATATAATGTTTTATGAAATTTTTCATTAATAAATCATCGAAAATAAATAAAAAACAAACTAAAGTAAGAAAAGAAATACTTACTGTTCATTTTATATGTAGGATCACAAGATGTAAAATAAATAAATAAAAAAACAGGATAATAAATATTTATTTGCATTAAATATTTGTCATAATAATAGATCATTGAAAACAAATCTTGTTAAAATAAGAATAAAATTAAAATTGATAATTTAGTTTTTCCAGTAGACTTCATATATCTTGTTTCTAGAAAATTATTTTAGCACTTCGAACAAAATTCTATTTTGATTTGTAACGAACATGAAAAATGATTAATCAACATTTGAATTTAATCGATTTATGAGTTTTCTTTAAAATTAATATAAGATTGAATCTAATTAATTTGATAGATGATTGTTGTAAATATTCTTCTAATGAACTATTCAAATCATATGTTAATTTCATTGAAGGTCATACCCAAATGGAGTACCTTTACATTGCCCCTCTCGAAGAAGAATTCCTCACAATGCTCCTGATTTCATTTGTGACATACAAAAATCGAAATAATTATTCTCAAAATTTTCTTATATTAATCATCAATTTGATGTTTGAGATGCCACTTGAAAGTTATATATAGATACAGATGTTTTGTATCCATGCAACCATTCGATTTGCATATATTTTGACTGCTATCGAAAAAAAAAAAATAATTATTTTTGTTTTGTGAAGTTAAGGCATAAATTCGATAAATATTCTCATCATGATTTATTTAATAATAAAGACACACCCAAGTTTATTTTTAGAAAAAAAAAAAATTGATTTGTTAAAAAATATTGTGTCGAAAATTTTATTATTCGTAATATGGACACTTAAGTTGTAGTTTTTTTTTCTTTTGTGTTGATTTAATTTTATGAAGGAAACGACAATAAAAAGTTATTTCAAGGTTCACAAACACTTACATCTATAAAAAAAATTCTAGACGTTATTTCGTTCATAATAATAATGTTTATTTTATTCGTATTGTAAAATGAGAATTTTTTTTTTCTATATATAGATTATATGCCAGATAAAGTTTTATGATTAATATGAGAAAAAGCAAAAAAAAAATACACTTTTGTATATGAAGATGTAAGTTGATCGAATGATTTGAGATTGTAAAATTCAAGCAATATTAACTATTATTACTGATATCTTATAATTTCCAAATGAAATCTTTCATATTATTTTACTATTCATTTTGTATTTAAATTAATGAGATGATTTATTAAACGAAAAAGAAAAAGAAATATTTGTCCGATTTGTTGGTTTTTTTTTCTATATACAAAAATAAAATGTTGAAAAATTTAATCAATGTTTTGTTGTTCAAGTTCATTCATAATTTGAGCAAAACATTCACTACCACCAAATAAACGTTGTGATCGTGTTCCTAATGGTATTTCATCAATAATTGTTGATGCTGGTGTTAATATTTTACTTCGATATCTTCGATTATCAATTTCTGTTGATGCAACAGATGAACATGAACTAGTTTGTTTACGTAGTATTGATCGAGTATGATAACTACCAGGTAAACCACTATGTTGTTGAAGAGTTTTTTGTGAACTTAATAAATCAAGATCAATCGGTGTAGTTTCAGGTGTAATATCATGACGATTATCAATAGATGATTCAATTTCTGATGGTCGAAGTTTGGGTAAAATTCGTGTTTTTAATATAGTTGATCGCCAACGTGAAGGTTTTTGTCCTTCTATTGATTGTTCATTATTGAAATCAACACGACGAAAACGTGGTGATATTATATGTTCAGAAGTTTGAATAGCTGGTAAAACAGAAAATTTATTTCGTGTTGATGGAGATGTTCCAGATGAAACAATACTTTCTAACAGAAAAATAAAACGAATCAATTATTTTATTAATTTCTTTTTTTTTCGTTGGTTTTTTTTTTTCATAACTATTTAACCTTTGTTTGTAGAAGTTATTGTTGTTGCTGATTCTGATGAATTTTCTCTTGGAGGAATAGGTCTTTTTGATTTCGTTGTACGTATTTTTTTATATCGTCGTCTTGATGGTCG